GAGTGTAGGTTATTCTTTGAATGATTGCACTTGATTGATAACACCCATATTATTATTATTATTTCTGAATGTACATTACCTCACATTGATTTTTATTGAAATATCTAGTCAATACCACACATGTAGCAGTGGTGTTTATTTTTACAAGATGGGGTTGCTAGGCAACCTCATGCCCGAATTCCCTCTTTACCAGTCTTATTACTGGCTTAGCGAGGTAAAGGAGTGCGTCAGTGGCCAGGGGTCGAACCCCAAACCACATGAGGCGTCGTTGGAGAGTATATTCTACCGCTATACCACCGACGCACAGATATATTATTATTCACGGAGAATTCAAATAAGCTCATTTTATAACGAAACCTGCACTGAAGCAATGCTCTCTAAAAGGATGACAAAAGATTCCCAATTAAATTGACCACCCAGCTCAGAGAACACAACTAATTCTAAATCATCCACGTGAACCACAAATCTTTTCTGTTATTCCGAGTGTGAATCAATTCATTGGGTCGAAGTAACTTACAATATGTTAAAACGTCTTTCAATATACTGGTGTAAATGAATTAATAGTATTTATATTGACAGAAACATGAAGAAAGAAATCGCTTCTAGACAAATAAATCACAGTGATATAAGACGACATTATTTTTACGATTTTGGCATTCAAAGGTGGTGACACCGCCCTACTGAAATGATCAAAAGTCGTCCAACTGTGTGTATTTAAATGCTCCACTTACACTGCTGTCTTACACTTAATACTCTCCAGGCGAAATATGATTTCACAATGCGTTAAGGAGGATAAACTACCGTTTATGTTCACCTCTGTGTTGTGCATCTACTCGTTCACAACCTCATTGTGCAACTGGTTACATTGAAAGTTGTAAACGTGTTCTAAAGAGACGCGCGTAATCACCCACTACTCGCGGTATGGTTGGTTGAAAGGTGAGTGTAGGATGAAGAAGTCTTCAATTTGTGAACACCTTCTCGAGTCAGGTCATCCAAAACGCATGTGATTTATTCTTTGAAGTCATCTACAAAGCTGAATTCAGTCACGCCGAAAGTTGGCAGAGTTGCACAATAGCGTCCCAAGGAGTGCGAACGCATGAGTGCGCTTCAGCCGATCAGTTATAAAAATAAGTGACTTTTGCACAAAAAATGACGTATATTTACAAGAAAATGCATGAATACACATTAAACAGGTTATCTTTCTCTGACATGACTTAAAAACACGTCTCAGTTATAATGAGAAGTATCAGTTGCTAAGTTAGACTAGTTTCTGTACATGTATTCACCGAGGTGACTAGAGATGAGCCGTTTTTTGTGAATTGTTTATCTCTCTTATCATGTTGTGCTGTCCTCCCCAAAACCCTCGGTTGAATTACTAGGGTTCGCGGTAAGAGAATCGATGACTACTTACCAGAAAAATGTGGATAATAAAGCAAATTAAAATAGATGACATCAACTCTAAATCTATCCTTAATCTATACCCTAAGTTTAATTTTAACCCTAACGAGCTACTAACACATTGTCCAAACAGTACTTTAAAACGTGATCTCAGTGAGATTTGCTGCTTAGTTGACGAATAGCGTTGATATATTTCAGCTACGATAATGACAAGTGCCGTTAGCCAACGACCAGCATGCGGCGATCAGGGTCATTGGGGAGTTTGCACTCTTCGGATGCTACTGGTGTACTTCACCCGAATATTTATGTTATTTCTACTTATGTGTGACCGAAGCTTCCGCTTAACATGGACAAAAACCGCTCATATGTATTGAAAAGGGTTTTGTGAAACCCCTTTACCCCTCTTACCTTGACCACAGAGCAATATTCTTTTCATATTATTCTATTTGACCAATTCACTTCACACCTTCGCCATCTTTATTGTTATCGTTATTGTACTTTTAATTTTTTTCTAACGACACTTAAACTACTGTAGAACTCTTAACACTGATTCACTTATTTAATTATCTTTATTCATATTCTATGGATGTGTATACTGACTGACTGAGAAACCTCAAGTGTCGCTTAGTGTCTTTTTCCGTAACACAAAAATACGACAGCTTGTACAGCTTGAAAATTTAGTTGTTCAGAAGAAATATCCCATCCCGCTGAATGAAATTCGATATTTCCTCATGAATAAATGGGTATATATGTAATTAACAATGTGACAAGTGTGATTCTACCTAAACCATGAGAATAATACACTGAGCTGCTGAAACTCTTTCGATAGCCCTTGGAACTCACTAATTATTACAAATAAATGTATATGTCTTACACGCACACACATACACACACTCCACACACACCTGGAGTATTTTCCTCCTGAATACAAAGTTTCATATAGAAGGCGTTCGAAAGTAAAGTAGGAGTGGTTAGACTTAGAAATGTCAGAAGTTGAATAGCTCCTCTCTGATCGATGATTTCAGTAAAATACAGAATATGCATGACTGTTGTCGCATAGGGCAATCCTAAATATCATCGTCCCTCAATACTCTGTTAGTATAAAGAATATTGTTTACATTTGCAAAGCTGTACATCGACAATCCACCCAATCAATACCTATCATAGTGCTAGTTGTCGACCTATCGAATCAATCAAGGTCTTCCGTAATGGTGAGATATGGTGGTGCTCGTCAGCAGGGAATTTATCGCCAGTCAGCTGATCTACTCAATCCAGTTAATTAATCGAATGAAGGATAAAAGCAGTATTATAAGGGATATCAATTACAAAATAATATTCCTATTAAATAATTATTATGACGTCAACAATAACATTCACAAGAGGTAGGTAACTGACATTCTAACTTTTAATATCTGTCAACTGTCAAATGAAGACAATTACGTGTGTACAGATCAACTGATAATCTCCACCTGCAATAATTCAGCCTATATTGGACGCAGGTTGTAGGAGGTCTTTGCGGACACGAATCTGTAACACTGTCGTCACACACATCTATGAGATATATGCTCAACATCCCACCACACAAGACTACCAAACACTGCTCGACTAGCATGTGACAGTGAAATCTGGATCTTAGAATAATAGACGAGATCACTATCCGGAAATTTTATGCTGCATGACTGGAAATATACGGACGGTGTGAACTACATGAATGCCAACAAATTCTATGCATAAATTCAACATAAAAGCCTAGTCAGTTAAAAGCATAGGTCATTGTTCGAATCTTAGACAGAGACCCCTGACACTTCAAAACAACTGTCGTGACCAGTAGGGTACAGCAGGTCGGATGTGAGGACAATGACATTGGCTAGTGGTCGCACTATGTTGTGAATTGGCAGAAGTTAGAATTCATGGACTATTGGATAGCGTCCCATCGGCTTAATGATCTACGAGCTCGTTAGCAATGTATCCTGAAGGTCCTCGGTTCGAAACTCTGTGGTGAAGAGTCTCACACTAGGCTGATGAAACGGCTGATTGTCCATTACTCCCAGGTAGTTTTCCAATGGTTCTCTAAATGACGTCAGCTCATGATAAAATCCTGTAATCAAATCAGCTGTCTTTTTAACGATTACTAACACTATGATCTCACAAGAAAATTAAAGACTTTCCAAACAAACATGGAGAACAGGTTAAAGAACCAATAGGCAACAAATATTTAATCATAACATTTTCAGATAGTAGTTAGCCAAGTAACACTTGCTTTACCATTGATTTGGAAGGTAACTTTCTGAAATTCTAGAGTAACTCACAAGGACATTTCCAGGATCGAAAACTCCAATATGACTGGAGAGTGTACATTACCACTTTGATATACGATTGGTTATTCGCATTGTGCGTTTTTTTTATCTATGCAAACAAATACACGATAACATCCTGAGTATTGAAGTTTGTTCCTCACAAATATTCAAGAAACTGCTATTCAATTCATATGTCCTTTAAACGCTGATTTCCTCTTCTTCAACAATGGGACCTACTAAGTCCTTGTTATTGGCTTATTGGCATCTACTTCCCGTTTCGTCAGGTTAAGCTTTCCTCTCTTTTTTGTCTACCATCTGGTTTTCTGGTGAGAAGGACATCTGGGAAGGCAAATCTGTTTTGCCAATTCCTCTTAGCTCGTGAATTACATAGCAGAATGTACTTAATTGAGTTGAGTTATGTATTGTGTTCCTATCCGAATCATTATCATAATAACTAAGTGAAATAATTCAACTTATATATTTTATTGAATTAATCTGTCTGACCTGCTTCGTTGTTAATCACTTAATTTTGGCTCTTTTATTTCTCTCTTATTTGTGTTCTTTAGTGAACAACCTTCTTAAACATACTCAGCTACCTAAATTATTAACATTGGCTTACTTTTTTGTACTTTATTCTGGTCCCAACTACATTATTACTATGAGTATTACAAAAATGTCCTGACATTAAACCATCATGTAATATTAGTTTTGTGATTGTTTTTTTTGTTCAGCAATATTAAAACTGATAGTCTTGTTTGTGAACGCCATTATCACCAACTTAAAATTTTTGTATTATGCAGGATTACTCACACTACCATAACAAACACTGCATTAGTGCTGACAATAAAAAAAAACACAACCTGAAATGTTTATTTTATGATTGCTTAGTGTTGTTCAATCAAATTAACTGATCATCTTGGCTATAAACATTCTTAAATATCATTTTCATAACTTCTTGGATGATTATAGCTGTTACTGTTCACCACGCATACACATATCGTAGCTTCCACTACCCAAATACTGAGATATTATTCATTATTGTTGTTTATCCTCCTTTCTATTTGGTTTTTTTGTTTGCATTTTTTGTTATTTTTGTGTTTCTTTTTGGTTTTTGTTGTTGTTGTTTTTCATATTTATTTTTTTTCGTAATACTCCTTTTCAATGTGAGATGAAATTAGATGCAATATTGTAGATGTGTGCTGAAAATTCCACACTGTACCACTAGTACTGTTTCTGGAATAAAGCAAATTATTATTATTATTATTATTTAGTAGTGACAAGTTTTAAAATCTTATAGTCATTTCATTTTATTGATTTATTTATTGATTGGTTATATATATACATATATAGTCTACTAATTAGTGTGTTTGTATTGAATTAGACTGCTTTACAAACGAGGCTAATGCAATGAATAAACCATGTGAAGTCGATTTAGACATAGCACGAACATCTAAAGGACCACGTGAATACATTTATAATTTATTAACAAAAAATAATCCCCAGGTAATTAATCGACGTTATTGTCTACCAAAAATTAAAACAAATCCAAAAGTGCATCATGGGGAAGAAATTAAAAAGTATCCAGCTAAAACAATGGGACCACCATCAAAATATGAACATCTCCCACCAATTAATGGTGCTGGTCATGATGATAATGATGATGACAACAATGCGTTGAACGAAAAACCATATGACTACTTGAAAAAACATTCGAAAAAACCATATACCACCCTGGATGCATTGAAAACAACTCATTGGAAGGATAAATGTCATAGACATCCACCAAATCCAGCAGCAGAAGTTAAAACTATACTGACTGAAGATGGTACACCAATAACTATCCCGATAAAATGTCTTAAAACACGTAAACGTTCTATAAATTGGATAACACAGAATGCAATTGCTACAATTATAGCTAAACCAGGTAGTCGGCTACCACCAGAACCACGTAAAGCTATTGTTGATACACGTTTTGGGGATAAATATCTTTTAGCAAATCAACGTACTCGATGTGGTTTAGAATTATTTTATGTTTACGGGAAAGAATTTGGTAAAATACCAAAATATTTAAAAAGACGTAAAGATTTAATTGAAAAGACAAAAATGAATCTGGCGCATTATTTTAATGAGAAAGCGTTACAGAATTCAGATTATCTCTTGACGCATACACAACGCGAACAGCTGTTGAATGGATTAAAATCCACCTGGGAAAGATATAATCGAAAGTATCTTGGCTTGGCATCAATTAATGATACGCTTAAAGGTAAAGCTTACAAACTGTACTTAGAAAAACAGCTAGATGAGCTGAAAAAGGATGTTGAACTGATTGAAAAGCATGAATTTATTTTTATCGAAGCCCCGAAAGAGACAAAATCAGGTATCAAAGATAATCAGGGTATCATCTGTGCTTAACATTCATATTAAAATTGTTTTGGCTTTGGTTTATTTTTACAAAAATAGAAGCAGCGACCAAAAGTGTGCTCTACACTATATGAATATACTTCAATTTGTAAATATAAATATTCATACATATACATATATATGAAGCCAGTTGTATTCAATTAGTTATTCTGTAACGACAGAAGACAAGAGTCACGCAACAGATCGTTTATTGGGAAAATTAACAGACATTTACAGATTTTTATGTACACCGTTATTCGTTATTGTTAGCAAAGAAGCAACGTCTTCTGATTGGTTGTTTTCCTGCTGAAGATTATTCTGCCATCTCTTTATAACCATTTCTTTGAAGGTCAGACCATATAATCTGCGAATCGTATCCACCCACGCTAAGTCTTCTGTGATTGGTTGTTGAGTTGCTCAGGGTTAGGCTTTGTTCTTGTTTTCTCTCCTGACCTTGATTCGGGACGTAAATAAACATTGACTTAAATTGTGGCATAGAATTTTGACTTGTAGACAGCTTCCACCGAAATTCTGGGTTTGGAAATATACTTGGTGCGCTTCATTGAGGATGAGTTGGTCAAATCATCACAGATTGACTGACTGACTAACTGATAGAGTTTACATCGTAGATCTTTGCACAGAAATCCAACAGTTCAAGTTACCATACTTCATATACCATTGGAAATGGAAAATAAATTCAAAGGAACTACTATCGGCCTGTAATGTATCAGATAGGGTTGAAATATGTGAGAAACATAATTGTTCATTTTCATGTCATCAAGGGTAAATACACAACTTGGAAACTTCATTTTTATAGTTCTGTTTATTCTATGCCTATTTGGTTACAAGAGTAGGAGAATTTTCCAGATACCCGGGAGATTATTATTGTCCCGTTCTGTGTTATGAACAGAACACAGGGCTTCAACAACGCATCCTCCGATTTCTGTTCTATTTTCTGCTCCACTATTCAGCTATCATCTCCTCCTCGGCACACGATCTCCCTGACGCCAACCTCGGGTGACCCACTAATTGTTTCCCATTGGGACTCCACTCGACCACTAGCATCGACAGTCTCCTCAGTGTGTGTCCAGTCCATCTCCATTTTCTCCTGGAAAATCCGTCGAACAGTGGTTTCTTGTTGCTAATTCTTTCTGACCAGTTGGCAAACCATTTGATTTTCAGTATGGAGCCAGCAATGACAGCTGTTGATAAAATTCTATGGTAGCTTTTTGGAAATGCACTTCGTGACACTTTGGCCAAACATCTGACCCACTCAGAAGAAGTGACTGACTGACTGACTGACTTAACATTGGGGTCGATAATCCGAATTTCTGTGTTTATAGTGGAGAAGATTTTCAAAACGATTTCATTTTGCTGAAGTTGTACCTTACCTTTCCGATTCTGGCTGGTTTCGACATCTTCATCGGTTTTCTATAGTTTGGTTTGTAAGGATTAGTTATGTTTTTACGAGTTGATCACGGATTGATATCAGTTAGAGAAGCATTGAAAACGAGGGAGTACTGGACAGCTGCTGTTTCATCCTAGTTTGGGAATCATCGGCAGTACGCACCCACTGGGATTCGAACCCAGTGGCTGAATGGTATACGAGCTTACCTTGTAACCGGAAGGTCCTGGGTTCGAATCCCGGTGGGTGTGTACTGCCGATGATTCCCAAACTAAGATGAAACAGCAGCTGTCCAGTACTCCCTCGTTTTCAATGCTTCTCTAACTGATATCAATCCGTCATCTTCATGGGTGCCGACCGTCTATATTTGAAACATTACTTCCTAGATATATGAAGGAAATAACCTTGTGGTGAGAGCAGGCTGCGAGCCAATTGGTAGACATTAATCTAGGCTGATTCAACAACCAATCACAGCAGACTTAAACGTCGGCAAATATGATTCGCAGATAAATGGCTCTACTTTCCGAGAAATACCGAAAACAACCAATCAGGAGACTGTGTTTGTCTGCTTAACTTCCGAGAAACAACCAATTAGAAGACTGACTTTTTCTGCTTGCATAGGCCTTATTAATGTACATAAAATATATATAAACACGTGTTGATCTTCGTAATAAAACGATCTGTTGCCTGGCCCTTGTCTTCTGTTGTTACAACCTCTTTGAGCCACTTCCCGTGGCTTTTTTTGCTAGTTATCTTTATCACCTCCGTCTATTCCTATTCCTTATTCAATAAACAAAGCAATTACTAATTTTTCTGTTTATCCTTTTATAGAAAATTGTAAGACTATCACTTTATCCCATTCTATTGTGTGGTTGTGTGTAACTGCATGTAGTGAGTGCTACAGCTGAACTATTCTCTAGATTTATTATCTTTTTAGGGTCAACTAATCTAGATTTTACTAGGTTTTTATGCTCGGCTAGTCTGACTGCTCCTGTTCTACCAGTTTGACTTATGTATTTGACCTGACAATCATTCCAGTAGGGTATTAGATAAACTGAATTGTTTTGTTTAATTGGTTCCCCAGGATCGATCCTTCATCCGACAAAGTTAGTTTCTAAATGAGTTTGTGAGTGGCTTGAATGTCACTTTTATTTCTGCTTTATTAAGAATTCTACATAAGATTCTCGAGGCTCCTTCTTTGCATGGAAGGAAGTACTACTGATGATTTGGATTCTTTATTTTTGGTGTTATCACCATTCTGTTCTCGTTTGTCAGGCATGTTGTCACTATTATTAGTGTTATTATTACTACCAGTACTAATTCCATTATTACTAATTTTATTTTCCCATTTTACTACACTCTTCCTGATTATAATTTATCAGAGTAACTGTGTTCGAAACTTTGTCATCCAGTAACTAATAATACTGTTCCATTGTGTGATACATCTAATAAACAAATTAATGTGGAGTTACATACTGCCACAGTGTCTAAGTGTTGCACCTATTTCGATTACCAATCTGTATCTTTTCATGCTGTTATGTTAGATTCTAAGGCTGCCATCGTATCCTATCCCACTTTATGGCTATATGTAATCTCATGTAGTTCTGTAGTTGAGCTGTTTTCTAGATTTCTTATCTGAATCAGGATTGCCTGCTTAGATTTAGCTTAGATTTTGTGCTTCACTAATCCACAATTGACCTCTTTTTATTACACTTTGACCTATCTAATAGACCTCAATATAAGATTTCTAAGGCTCTCTTTTTGTATGAAAGCACTAAGGATCGTTTAAATTCTCTATTGTTGATATAGTCATCTTATGGTGCATGCTTGTCGGTCATTTTGTTTTTTTGATCTTCTACTTATTACTATTACTTCTAATTTTATCCTTATAATTCTGCACATATTTCCTGATTAATTTATCGGGGTAATCATTTGTAACGGTAGAGGACAAGAGACTCCTTCTTCGAAAGCAGCTGACCATGGGATCTTCATTGTCTAGAGACAGTAATACCAATAGTAATGCCAGAGGACAAGAAACTTGGTATCAGAATGTTAACTTGGAATTCGATATCCATGTATAGGGAAATTATATACGCCTTATCTGAAGTTTGTCATTTACACAGATTTTCCGTGTTGTACTACTGTGGTGAGAGCTATCCGCTAGCCGAAATTGGTTGACAGCAGTTCACATCAATGTTTATGTCCCAAACCGGGGTCGTGAGAAAAAGCAAGAACAAGGACTAACTTGATAACCAATCACAGAACACTTTGCGAGGGCGGATACGATTAGCAGATATATAGCAACGGACTGTCTAAGAAACAGCCACAAAGAAATGACAGAATAACCCTCAACAGGAAGAAAACCAATCAGAAGACGTTGCTTCTCTGCTAACAATAACGCTTATAATAATGTACATAAAAATCTATAAAAATCTCTTGATTTCCTCAATAAACGACCTGTTGCCTAGCCCTTGTCCTCTGTCGTTACACCGTGGTGAGAGCTGGCTGCTAGCTAAAATTGGTAGATGGTGACTTACCTCAATGTTTACGTCCTCAATATTAATCGTGAAAAAAATATGAACAAAGACTGATTCAACGAGCAACCACAGCATACTTTACGTAGGCGGATACAATTTGCAGATAGATGATCTGAACTTCAAGAAACAGCCACAAAGCGATGAAAGACTAACTTTCAGTGAGAAACAACCAATCAGAAGACTGAATTTGTTTGCTTAAATAATCTATAATAATGTACATGAAAACCTATAAATATGTGTTGATTTCGTAAATAAAGGATCTGTTTCCTGGCTCTTGTCTTCTGTTCCTACAACACTACTTCTGCCCTTCGCATATTGTGTGTTTCTGTATCTTCTTCTTGTCGTTTCTGCCATGTTTCGCCGCAACATTGGTGAGTTCTGATGCTTCTGTTTTATGTTTTACTTCCTAATGGAGATTTTCTTTGATGCTATTAGATTAGGGGAGCATAAAGGCCTAGCAAAATCTGCATTATATAATTCTAATTAGATAAGAAATCTGGAAAATCGCTCAGTTAAAGCACTACCTGCAGTTATACCAAACCATGTAATAGGATGGAGCACTCCTAAACTCTAATTTTGACAAATTGGAGGGAGATAGATTGACAATTGCGGTTTGATTTGTCAAGCTAACTGAGTGTGAATACGTGCAACGGGAATGACTCGATACTACCTGTTCCAGACATCTGAAGAATTCTACTACCCCCTCGACTAATGCGAATAAAGACAGAGAGGTATCCAGCTCAATTTTGGAAGTTGTGTAGTTACAACGGATTATTTGACACTGTGATCAATAAATTGTATTTGAAACTTCATCCAGTAAATGATAATAATATGTTTCATTGTGTGATACATTTAATAAACAAGTTAATATGGAATCATTCACAGGATTTAAATCATGAGTTGATATCGGTTAAAGAACCATTGGAAAACTATGTGGGAGTACTGTTAGACAGCTTTTTTCTTCGGCCATATTCAGTAAACCTTCTGTAGTACACACCCACTGCCAGGGTGTTTTAACTTAGGACCTATCGGTTAGAAGGCTAGCGAGTCACTGGGATCCGATCCAATGATTAGCCCAAGAATTTAAACATCTACCAATTTACGATATAGCGCTACTGGCAACAGTCAGTATCACCGCAGGTGAGTATTTGTCCTCAAAACAGACCTGCTGTTACTCACTGGAATTACATAGTACCTCTCCTAGATTACTAGCTTGCTAGTTTTCTACTGGTCCCAAGCCCGGA